CAAGGTCCTACAGTAGGTTGTGTCACTTGGGGTATCGTGCTCTGATTGGTTGACTGATCGTGACGTCAGTGTCAGTACTCTCGCGCCGTAGTTCAAATAGCTGATCGAGTGTTCACACAATTTCACTCACAATATTCATTTTAAGGAAAAATAATACCGAGAACATCATTATTTTGTCCCCTACTTAGATATTGCACCACATTTGGACTTGGATGATCGTTCTGTAGCGAGATATGAAACGGATGACATCTGTCAGAACCTGCCGGCCACCGGTGCGAGGAGGGCGGCTATATTGGATTAGAGGTTAGGTTGACTCTTCTCCGTTACTTATCAGTTCGCAAACAAACGATCCGGTTGAATTTCGTCATTCAAAGTATTCCCACACCTTGTTTATGCCACACCAATGGTATATTTTTATAGTCCGTTCGGATAATTACTGTTAAAATAAAATTGAGCTGACAGCTATTTTCAAATCTGGCGCGAGCGAACTGACGCTGACGTCACGATCTGTCAACCAATGAGAGCACGATACCCCAAGTGACACAACCTACTGTAGGACCTTGGGAATGAGGCATCTCCGTTCGTTCGGTAGTTCGGTCACGCGCGTCCCGGCATGATTTCCACTGTTTTTCTCTCCCCCCCATCCACCCCCAACTCTGTGTTTTGGGGGCCCTCCCCGGCACCCCTGCACGGCCGCGGTCCCGCATGGCCTCACACCGACTGTTATTTGACATGTAACAAACGAGGCCTGGCAGAGAGAGAGAGAGGCACGCCGCCATATAGCGAAACGCAGCGCGGCCGCCGCCTCTCCGCAAACAATTGGGAGGATAAAATAGGAAATGATGATCCCCACCATAAAACAATTTTCTTTAAAAATCGCTTTTTAAAGAGAACTTTTGAATCATACACCTTAAAGGTGCAAAAAATTTACAATCAGCCATAAAACAAAAAATGTATCAAAATGGATGTCAAAGAAAACTTCTAATCACACAAGGTGCACCTTACAAGGTGAAGGTGTAAAAAATATATTACAATCGGCCAAACAGTTGTCGCAGCCCGGCAGGAACAAAAGGCCAGCTGGATGAGGCGGCTGGACGGCGAGCAGGTGGACGGCGCCTGGCGGGTAGGCCGTCCGGGCCGCTCCGCGCAGCCGAGCGCCGCCGCGGCCTACGCTCCAGGGGCGCACGACCTACACCAGCAGGAGGCGGCGCGGTGCAGCACGCCTGCACTGTCAGCGTGCCCGGGGGGGG